GGAGAGCGAGAGCGAGAGAGAGAGAGAGAGAGAGAGAGAGAGAGAGAGAGAGAGAGAGAGAGAGAGAGAGAGAGAGAGATTAGTTTTTTAGGAAGTCGATGCAAGAATATAATGTCATTGGCTGAAGAGCCACCTTCCCTCTCATGCCACACATGTATAGCATTTCATACCCTTTGTGGTAAGGTCAAATAATATACTAAAGTTTTGCAGAGCTAGCTTTGTCTCATAGCATGGTACTGATGCTTTTAGAAATTGCGACAAGAAGACAGATTGGAGATCCATTATTTTTACGCATATATTTTGTCGTTGCTTGGTTCAATCCTGCGACCTTATTGCCATTGTCCTTTTCAGTTTTTCTTCTCTGTGCTTTTCCAAAACGTCGTAACTGATGTTTCCAGCTGCGTGTCCAGCAAAACGACCACACTTGTCTTTGCGGGGTAGATTTATCAGTTTATTTAAAACTGTCCTTGAATACTTTGACTTTGATACCTAAACGAGTTTTTTCATTCTCTTGACAAAGAGTAAAGTATTCCCTTTGAAGTTCACGGAGACTACTGTAGATCGACCCAATGGTAACACGCTCAGAACCAGGGGCGAAAGCTGACTTGTTTGACAGGGTAATCAAAATGAGATGGGACCAGAGAGGGCCTGGAGATATCACACTCACACAAGTCACAAGAATCTTACTAGCACTGGAGGCGGCAACTCTGAGTTGTGAATGAAAAGAAATCCTGAATTCATGTTGCATGCATATTCAACCGCAAAAATAATCGGGAAAGTGTTTCATTAAATATTCATTTTTAACTAACCTTCAATTTAACTTTAGATTTGAACACACGAACACCAAGGAAAGAAGCAGAGATGTCAGTACTAGGCCTACAATGGCATGTTATACCAGACAGCCGAAACACTTTGGTAGAGCATGCCAATTATTAATTTTTTATTTCACATTTGGCTGTTTTTGTCTCGCTTTTCGCGGCCAGGACCCGGTGTCATAATCGAGGTCACGATCTGATTATAGGACGTTAAAAAGTCGTGGGAAAAAAACAAGCACTTGCAGCAGTCAAGATATTATTAGAAGTTAGTTCCCCTCATATCTGTGAGGTAGACTCGACCAGTGTAATAGTTAGCTTATATAATCAGCGGGTGTGGCTGATTATAACTGTGGCTCGAAAGGGGTGAACAGGGTATATGCGGCAATGAAACCATTTTGACTACTATGCACATGTTCCCTTCAACTCTATTGGTAGACTCTTCCAGCTTCACTTTAAGCTTACTTAATCAAA